GGGGGTTTGATACGTGAATGATTGCCATCTACATCTGACATGGCACCTCATCACGACATCATAGGGCGATCGTTTCGTCGTTTCACCAGCATCCTTTTTGGTCTTCCAGGGTCTTCCATACGTGATCAACAGCATTTCCAGAGTGACCGAAGCTTCCGTGAGATCGTTTGTTCAGTTTGCTGAGTCAGTTTATGTTCATCTGACCTTTCGCTTAAAATGCACATCCGTATGTCGTTTGACTCTGCACATAGGTGGTCTTCTCCTGAAGGAGCAGAACCTCAATACTGCCCCCCTTACCCCCACTGGGCAACCATCTCCTGATAACCCTGTGTTCAAGCCAAAAAAATCGCATGAAAACGACAGGCGCCGAAGGAAACCGCCAGCAACTAGGGATAATAAAAAGTGAAATGGACTTGACCGATGTTCAAAAATCGAGACGTCCAACTCAATCTACTGACTGGTCCATCTGGTACACGGCAAACTCGGGAAAAACCCAGCGGCAAAACCAAGCGACAAACCCCTGAACCCCATCCTTCCATGGCCCATCCCCTTGGCCCCGACCCGATCCTTCACCCACGAGGCGCGATCAACGAACCGAAGCTGGCCCCGATGAGGCCGATCACGGCGGCGACCTCCACCAGTTCGCCGAGGTTTGGGGTTCGGGGTGACGAGGTTGGGGTACTTGGTTTCCATCCCAAGTTCACCAATGAGCTGAAACCCTTTAAACAATAAAAATCACATCCTCAATGTGGGTCACTGGAGATGGTGCAGCGCTTTGACAATCGTGATCATCCCAATGATTAAGGTTTGCCAAAGAACTGTAAAGCCGATGTGGGGATGATCATGTTCGCCAAAGAGCTGCATCTCGTTAAGGCACCATGTCCAATATGGGTCACTGGGTTTGGGACGGTCAGGTTCACCACGGAGCTGCAACTGTGGCACAATTTCCCTATGTTTGCAACCCATCACCCATCTTCACGCGCCGCAGACTGGTCTGCACCGTGGATGCCGATCGCGGATCACTGAGCCATTCCAATGTCTCCCAAACAGGTCTCTTCAGCTGTTCACATGGTCCGAGCCATTCCACGTCAAACGGTTCCTCTCTTCACTGGGCGTCGGTCCGTCGTCCGAGCCGTTCGTGTCCCGGGACACGGCGATATTCGGATACCGAGCGAGCGAGCGAGCGTGTCGTTGGGGGCGATGTGGGCTGAGAGGGTGGGTCGATGTTTGGTATGATTCACTCATGGCATTATATATGTTATAATGATTCAGCCAAATGGCTGCTGAACTGCAGCATGTAGCTGTCTATAATGCTTAAGCCGCGCCACATGCTAGACTGCAGCATGTAGCTGTCTAGAATGCAGGCAAACTGGGCGTGACCTGCAAACGGGAGAACTACGCACAAAGGCTATGGCTATGGCTCCCATAGATTCTTACGGTGCTTTTGGATGATCCGGTCACCTGCCGAAGAAACACCGGTGCTCATTGCTCATCAACCACTCACAGGGAATCCGGATGTGGGGGCGGACTAAGCTCTAGACAGGTCACCTAGAGTTGCAAATGGGGCTTTGGGATTTTCTTAATAAAGAAGCCTGGACAAACCAAAAACATGTAGAGAACAATTCTTCTCCAAAAGGGCTTCACCAAAGGGAACAACGTCCTTGTCTTCCACAAGAGGCAAACTGCACTCCGCCCCATGTTATCGTTTGCATTGAAGGCATGGCAGCAGCTGCGCACCTGCTTGCACCACAAGGCAATAGCGACACAAGTTGCCTTAGGCTCAGTTGGCTCAACCCAACAGGAACACAACTTTTTGCACTGTCCCAGAAAACACGGCTTGCCAGGAGTAGAGACGCCAAGGACAAATGCGTGGTGCAGTGGATATTTTATTTCCTGTTCTATTAATTGCCATGGTCTTCTCACAGGTTCACGCAAAGCAAGCAAAATCTCACATGTGCGTTTCAACACCCGGACAATTCTGATCAAGGACCCCACACAAACACATTATATAAATTAACAATGTGAGAGGAGAAGCTTCTCTGTATGTGTACATAATACACACATACACAAACAAACACACCCACACGCACACACACACACACACACACACGCATCTCATGAAGCACTCACTCCCAAGGTCCTGAAGATCGCTCAAATTGCCGAAAACCTGTCCTAAAATCGGCCATCCGTCCCATCGCATCCCTCTCGAATGTCTCGAATCAGGGCTGTTAACATGTCCTCGATCATCTGGAGAAAGAGCAACTGAAGAGTCTTGTCTGAGGGAGGGTCACATTCATCTGCTGCCTCATCATCTCCTGGCAAACCAATCAATGCCAAGCGACGATGATGGTCGACACCACCATGAAGTGCCTAAGCGGGCAGTTGTATGAGGTCCGGGTCCCACTGTTTGGGAAACTCCATGATCGACAACTGCTGCAGGCCTTTTTGTTAACCATTAGTATTCCGAAGGTCTATCCGGGAATGGACCACGGCCTCAATGGTGTCTGCTGGGGGCTATGTGACAACTACACAGCTGATCTGAATGTGCTTGGGGGGGCCAACTTAGCATCGACCATTCCACCTGGAAAAGCCAACAATCGCCCACGAAGCCGGGCCCGGCCCTGAAGTGGCCCTGAGTCCCACCAGCCTGCCAGGCCGGTCACGACGCCCAAGCAGGCCCAAGATGCTTGAAGCCTAGAGCAGCGATGCAAACACGTGGAGATGCCAATCTGCTTGGAACAGCAATCAAGCTATCAACCAATGGACAGCAGGTTTGATATGTTGGTTCTATGATCAAAACAGATTTCATTGCTCTTCTATCATAATGATAGTTCTTGCGAGTATGACGCTGCAAAATCGGGATGATGATGATGATGATGATGATGATGATGATGATGATGATGATGATGATGATGATGATGATGATGAT